CTACCACTTGAGACACAGTGCCACTTCCGGTTTTCTAGTGGTTTATTGGAGATAAGAGTCTCACGGACTTTCCAGCCTGGGCTGGCTTTGAACCCTGAACCTCAGATCTCAGCCTCTTGAGTAGCTAGGATTACAGACATGAGCCACTGGTGCCTGGCATATTTGAGTTCTTATTGCAGTTTAAAAACTGTTTTTGAATTATCTTTATGAAATAATGAAATCAATTCAAATACTAGCTGGTGTTGTTTTATTTACTAATTTAAGAGACAATAAGTAAATATGTGGAAATCACTTATGGTGAAGTAAACCAGGCTCAGAGAAACAAACGGTGCATGTTTTTTCTCCTATGTGGAAGCTAGATCTAAAACACAAACATACGTAATAATATATATAAGATCCTATGCATACACACACAAACAAGCTGACTAAAGCATGGCTTACTTAAGGGAGAAACACAAAGTTGTAACTCCTCTGAACAATGAATGTACTATTCATCAAAATAAATGCCAGAGAGTGGGAACATGTGTTGGTGGGGAGAGTTCAGGAGGGGAACACATGAATGCAGACAGGAAGGGTGAAGTAAATGCAGTCATTATATTCAATATACATTATAAAAAAACTGAATTATGTAGTTTGAAGGTAGGGATGGAAGGGGGAAAATGGGGAAGAATGAAAGAAGTGATGTTATTGTCCAAAAAGCATTGTATTCTTAATCTGATTTAGGAAATTATAATCTCTTTGTACAACTACATAATAATAAAGTTTTACAGAATCACTTATGGACTTTGACATATTTTCTAAATGTTTGGCTAAATACTTTCTCAACTCTCAATACGTTATAGCACTCTAAACTACCTGACTAAACACCAAATATGTAAAAATTTAATATTGAAGTGGCCTGAGAATTTATGATTTGGTGATAAAAATTCACCCAATGATTTAATGAATCTGCCTTTTCTTACTTCTATTTTTCCCCTGCCTTCATCTCTCAGTTATTTTTTGCTAGCTAAAAATAGTAGAAATTCATGACTATAACATTTCATTACTTTTGGAGAATATACTATAGTACATTTACCATAAATAATTCACACCATACTATACTTGTCAAAAGGAATGAACAAAGTGTATATCATGGTACAGGAACCTTGCTTTTTATTGTTTTTGCTCACTTACTCACTAATTCTCCAACTCTAGCTCCCTGTCACTGTGAATTAGAGTGCTTCGGATGTATACAAATATTGTATTCTGGGTAATTAGATATCAGGATAGAAGCCTCTGCAAATTATGTTAACTGATGTCAGAGCTGAAGCAAATAAGAAGTTTTTAGCTCTGTTTTGAGTTTGGGTTATTTTCTGACCCTAAACAGCCTGACACAAAGGAGTGCTTTTCTTTGTCAAAGGCAGTCTTTTCAGCTCAAACTGCCAGACACACTATTGAGCTGTGTTCAATTCTAATTGGCTGAGATCTTTTCAATTCGGCAGTTTCATCTTTAATGCAATGGATGTAAGATCATGTGTAGATATTTTCAATGGGTTTTCCATACTGATGATTAGGGTTGTGGGATTTGAACATAAGCAGGCCACTGGCTATTTCTTCTGGACAATTTAAATTGATTCATGCAAGTCCTTTTTACCCTAGAGAAAAGGCAGATAAGCTGTCACTACATTTTCAGATGGAATAGTAGAAGAGAAGAAGGGAGAGACTCAGGGAAGAGGAGCACGCTAAATGCTGTAAAATTGGAGCTGGAAGCAGTCTAGCAGAGCAATTTTAATATGGAACCAGTGGGCTTAGTGTAGGATCGAGGTCACCAGAGAAAGTGCCAAGGTTGATTTTGATCTCTTTAAGTTAAAAGGACTGGGTAGCTAGAAAACATTCATCATATCTTATTCCATGGGAATCTGTGTGTCCAAATCCTTTAACCCTTCACTAAGGCCTTCAAGAAGAGAGTAAGTACATTTTCCAGAATGCTACAGCACCTCTGCATATATTCTATTCAAATAGGAGAATGAAGATTAGCTAAAATTTATTCTGAGATAGGTATAAAAATTGTTTTTAAGATGGGAAGGGAGGGGAGGGGTAAACAAAGGAGGAGGTTACAATGCTTGATAAGAAATGTACTCATTATCTTGCCCATGTAATTGTAACCCCTCTGTACAGTATTTTCACAATAAAAAATAAATAAAAATTAAAAAAAGAATCTTTTAGAAACAAGTACTTTTGAGAAAAATTCCACAGTTTCCTGTTAGAATAGTTCAGGATGAGTTATTCATGTAGCCATACTGGGGTTTAAACTCAGGGCCTTGAGTATCTACAACCTGAACCACATGATTAGCACATCTTGTCTTATTTATTTTTCATGTAGGACCTAGTACTCTTGCCTGATGCTAGCCTGGATTTCAACTGTCCTACCTTTAGGGCCAACAGCCCATCCCCATTGCTAGGATGGCAGGCACGTGTCTTAATGTTCCGCTCATTTTGTTGAGATAGGCTCTCCTTAAATTTCAGGGAGGGGATCTAGGCTTGAGCCACAGTCTTCTTCATCCACCCATCCAGGCTAGCTATGATTACAAGTGTGAGCCATTTTACTTGGATTGTATGGACTACTTAATTTGAGCATATCCCAATGTACTTTCATGTAGACAGACTCTCCTAGTACAACTTACCTCTAGCTTCTCATCTAGTTTCCTTCTCTTAGGACAGGATAGGTTACATGAGAAACCAGGGAGCCACCATTCTGGTACCATCTCTGTTTCTAGAGAGGGAGTTTTACTGCTTTCTCAACTCCATCTCCATGTTATTCAAATTTTTACTATTCCATGTCAAGTAACTTGTTGGCTCTTTTAACAAGGAAGAAAGAGAAGCCCTTCTTTATTTAAACAAAATAAACTCTGCGCTGTTGACAGTATTAACAAGGGCATTTTAGTCCTCTCTGAACCCATGAAAACAATGAAATATTTCTACTGCAAGACAAAATAGCAACCATTTTCATTTTGTTGGTTTGACTTGTTTTGCCCTAGAACATATGCAAAACATCCATCTCTCTCCTGGGTACTAACAATCAGTTTGTTAACATTCATAGTAATTATGAATCCAACACCGGTGCCTGACATATTAGTTGAACAAATAAGGGTGACAAATATGGCATATGTTGCAGAGATCAATGGGCAAGTCCTCTAAGCTAAGGGAATTTTCCAGGAAATCTTAGGCATTTACACACTGGTTCAATATTTTGTAAGGTTTGAAATTCTACTAATACACAGAAACACACACAAAAAGTAAGGCTAGTTTTCAACTATCACTCTCAATCACTTAAAAACAAACAAAGGCAATCCCTGTGAAGAGACAGCTGCAATAGCAATTTCTGAGCTGCCTTCCAGGAGACTAATACTTTGTAAACAGTCTTACTCTGAAGCTCAGATTTTTTAAGAGATACTATCTGGAATCACTGGAATAAATACAGTATATTATGGAAATATATAAAAAAGCCTTGCTGTTAAGGCTTCCCAAAAATTTGGAATATTCAAAATTTGCAAACTGACACTTACAAATAGAGTTATCTAGAATTTTTTTAAGTCTGAAATTCTATATATCTAACAGAAAGCCTTTGTACCAAACAAAATTTCTATACCCTTCAAAAGACATGAGATATGAGAATATTTATTGCACAGTGTTTTCATAGCCATAAAGTGAAAATTATCCAAATGTCCATAAATAGTAGAATGAAAAGTATTATAGTCAAAAAACATGAAAGTCTACAACTGTAAGAATAAAAAATGCACAACTACTTGCAACTAGGTTGATGAGTGTCACAAATTGGTGGCCGAAAGATGCAAGACACAACATAGTACTTGCTATAGAATTCCATTTATATAAAGTCCTGAAAGAGAAAAAACCACGCCAGAAGCCAAAGGCATCCTCCTTGGGGGAGAAATTGGAAGGGATTGTAATTGGGACTTCCAGGTTGCTGTCTGATCATGTTTAGTTTCATCATCAGGATACTGGGTAGGTTCAGTTAGGAAACAGAATTGTACTCATTTGGTATGTGTCAAAAGTGGTTGTTACTATTTTACTTACATTTGCTGTTTTATTTTTCTTATTTTCTTTTTTAACACCAGTGCTGGGACTTGAACTGAGCTTTGTCACTCAAGGCTAGGACTCTACCACAGTTCTGGCCTGAAGTTTCTCTCTCTCTCTCTCCCTCTTTCTCTCTCTCTCCTCCCTCCCTCCCTCCCTCCCTCCCTCCCTCCCTCCCTTCCTTCCTTCCTTCCTTTATTCCTTCTTTTATTTCATTATTTTTTGCTGGTGAATTGGAGATAAAGAGTTTCATGGATTTTCTTGCCTGGGCTGGCTTTGATTGAGACCTTCAATTCTCTGCCTCCTGAATAGCTAAGATTGCAGATGTGAGCCACCCAGCATCTGGCTTATTCTCTGTTTTTAAAAAATAATTCCTTTCACTTTTTCCACTAGAAGTGATCAGACAGGTTTTTCCTCTTGGTCTATATGCTTGTAATAGCTCCAACTCTCCTTACTGTGATTGACTTTCATCTACTACTTCACTCATAAAATCTTTTACATTAGCTTTGTAGAGAGAGAAATCTTAGTTTAGTAATTACAGTTTTCAGTAAGGTTTCACAGGATTCTAGCATTAACTAAAGGAAAGCTTCATTTCCTTATATGTTTTAAACTTCCTAAAAGAAAAGGGCAGTCATCAAGTGTTAACTTGGGGCTTGAACTCTGGGCCTGGGCACTGTCTCTTATCTCTTCATCCAAGGCTAGCACCCTATTACTTCAACCACAGCACCACTTCTCATTTTCTTGAGGCTTATTGGAGATAAGAGTCTTACAGACTTTCCTTCCCAGGCTGGCTTTGAACTGGGATCCTCAGATCTCAGCCTACTGAGTAGTTAAGATTACAGGCATGAGCCAGCAGCCCCTGGAGAACACTGTTCTTAAGAACTGATAAACATCTAAAACTAGTGATATTCTTACCACAATTTTACCTGTGTGGCCATCTCGTCCTTGGTGATTGATGTTTACAACATTCTGATCAAGAAGAAATTTAACCAGGTCAATGTTCTTGCCATAGGTACAAGCACTGCAAGACATCAAATAATAGAAATAGACTGCCATTTTTATGGGCTGAGTCAGATCATTTCCAAAATATATTTATTGAGCCCCAAATCTCACAATCTCAGTAGATGACTATACTTAGAGATGGCCTGTTTAAAGAGGTAGTTAAGCTATAATGGAATCCCCAAAGTAAATCCTAACCCAATAAGATTGGTCTCTTACAGAAGTTGATATTAGGACACATAACACACTCTGAGGAATGATCACAGGGTGAGAAAGGGTGAGACAATAATCATCTTCAAGCCAAGAGGAATGATCTCAGAGAAAACCCAATTTGTCAATACTGTGATCTTGTACTTGTAGCCTGTAGAACTAAAGACCATAATTTTCTGTTGTTTTAGCCACCTAAGCTGGAATTTTGTTATAGCAGTCCTAGTGAACTACTGCAGACTTGATTAATTCTGGCTAGATATTTGTGTGTTTATAAAAGTGCCAAAAATGGAGAAGAAGGGAAGGAGAGAAGAGAAAAAAGTGATTTGCTTGTGTTGTTGTTGTTTTTAAGGCAAACCCTGTCCAACAGTTTTAAATGCCATATATTTGTATCTGGAGTGAAATAAAGGAAGAACATTAACTTTCTAGTATTTTTTCATTAAGTATTTCTTTTAATAGTAGTTTATTTTTACCTAGGTATTACCCTATGAGATGATCAAATGCAGAATCCAGCTCTGTACTTAGAATTATTCTTAAATCTAGGTCACTGTTTGAAATTATTCCCTGGAAAAATCATGCCCTACCTCTGAAGACTCCCTCAGCTAGAGGATAAGATACCAACGCTGTCATTGTACTAGGGAAGCATTGGATGCGAACTTGAAACCTAATGCTTCTTTACAAACATGTCAGAGGATCAAGAACAAATCCTTTATCTTCTTGATTTTAGTTTTACCACCTACCTCACAAAAGAATAAATAATATATTCTGTATTTATCGAATTGTTGCTGAAATGTCAAGGGAATTAATACTTATAGAATCACATTACAACCAATAGAGGGTATGCATTATGAGCTCTTTCTGGCTGGGAGGAAATGGGGAAGGAAAATGAACATATGTTTGGACTCAAAGGAAATAAGATTTTTACAGAATAATATTTGGTGAGACAAAGGTCAAAGGCTGAACCAATGCAACAGTAAAAATCACAAGACAATACCTTGGAAATGAACTTTACAACTCAGCAGGGGTGGGAGGGTGGGGATGGAGGGTAGGGAACGTGGGAGAAAAACAAGGGAGGGGTAACAATGTTTGACAAGAAATGTACTCATGATGTTACATATGTAACTGTTACCCCTCTGTACATAACCTTGACAATAAAGTTAAATTAAAAAAAGAAAAGATGGGTGAGAAAATCTTGTATATTAAAAGGAAGTTATAAAAATAAGTGTAGTTGTGGAGGTGGGAGGGAAGGGATGACAGGGGCAAAACAAAGGAGGAGGTAACAATACTTGAAAGGAAATGTACTCATTACCTTGCTCATGTAACTGTAACCACTCTGTACAGGAATTTTACAATAAAAATGTATTAAAAATAAGATGATGTTAAGAGAAATGAACCCCAAGATGGGGTCACAAGTGTTTTTTTTTTTGCTATTGTTTCTAATGTATTTATAATGTATCATGTGATTTTTTTTTTGTTTCTCTGTATATTCCTTCCCCATCGAATAACACCTGTTTTCAATGTATTTGATGTCAGTGCCCTGCATCTTGTATATATACTTCTCTAATTTGGGGAGGGGAAGGGAAAAAATGAAATACTTAAATAGGGATACAGGTTGACCCATTGTAACAATGAGATGTACAAGACACTAGGTCAGAAAAAAAGAGCTTTAGAGGAACCCACAACCTTTCCAAAGTGATTGAACAAGTTTACACTCCCACCAACAATGCAGTAGGGTTCCCTTCTGGCCACATCTCCTCCAGCATCTGTTGTTATTAGAGTTCTTAATTATAGCCATTCTAACTGGAGTGTGGTAGAATCTCAATGTTGTTTTGATTTTCATTTCTTTTATGGCTAGACAGGTTGACCATTTCTTCATGTGTCTATTGGCCATTCTTATTTCCTCTTCGGAGAAGTTTCTCTTTCAGTCTTTAGCCCACTTGTTTATCGGGCAGTTGTTTCTTTGAAGATTTTTTGTTGGGGGGGATTTAATTTTTTGAGTTCCAAATATATTTTAGATGAGACCCTTGTCCGTTGTATGGCTAGTGAAGATCTTCTCCCAATCCGTGGGCTTTCTATTGATATTACTAGTTATGTCCTTTGCCATGCAGAAGCTCTGCAATTTCATGCAATCCCATTTGTCCAACCTTTCTTCAATTTGTTGTGTTTCTGGGTCTCTATTAAGAAAATTTTGGCCTGTGCCAAGGAGACCTAGGGTTTCTCCTATTCCAGGGTTTTCAGGGTGTCTGCTTTGACTCTTAGGTTTTTGATCCATGTAGAGCTGATTTTTACCCAAATGATCACAAACAAGACCATACTAAAGCTACCAGCACGACTATGTTTATTGCAGCATTATTTACCATAGCTGATATGGTACCAACCCAGATGTCCCTCAGTAGATGGATGGACCAAGAAAATGTGGCACAAATATATATATATAAATATATTATATATATAAAAAATATATATATATTATATATATATAATATATATATATATAATGGAATTCTATGTCTCCATCAGAAAGAATGACATTGTGCCATTTGTTAGGAAATGGAAAGACTTGGAAAAAAATACATTAAGTGAAGTAAGCCAGGCCCAAAGGAACATAGGTCCCATGGTTTCCCTCATTTGTAATAATTAGTATATGTCTGGGATTAGCAGAAAAGGTCAAAAGCTATGTACATATGACCAGATAAGTGATGTTAAGTGAAATGAACCCCATGATAGGGACACAAGTGTTTTTTTCTTTCTTGCTATTGTTTCTAATGTATTTATAAGGTGCCATGTGATTCTTTTTGTTGCTTTGTATGTTCCTCCCCCACAGTATAACCCTGTTTTCACTGCATTTGATGTCGGTATAATTTTTGGAGGGGAAAGGAAAAAACAAAATGTTTAAATAGGGATACAGGTTGATCCATTGTAACAAAGAGATGTACAAGACACTGTTGAACAACAAACTTTACAATTTAGGTGGGGGGGGGAGAGGGGAAGGAGGGGATTGGGAGGGGAAGGAGGGAGGGGAGTGTAGTTCTGGAAGTGGGAGGGAAGGAATGATAGGGGAAAAACAAAGGAGGAGGCAAGAATGCTTGATAAGAAATGTACTCATTATCTTGCCCATGTAATTGTAACCCCTCTGTATGGTATTTTCACAATAAAAATCTATTAAAAATTTAAAAATGATGCATTTTGCCTATACATTTGTTGGGATATTTAATGGACGTTCTGATTTCTACTATGTACTAAGAAAGTTAACATGCATAGAGAAAACAGATTTGTAAGGTAAATAAATTATACCAACTAATGTCAATGGAATTTTATTTTTTGACTAGTTGTTGTCATAGTTTCCTTCTCAGAAAAGCAATAGCTTTTTCTATTACTTGTTCTCCAGCAATACTGTACTTTCAAACTCTCGAGAGCTATAAGGTTTGTCATACTTGACTGGACTGAGCTGGTATTGAGCAAAACTCCATCTAAATCATGGTTAAAGGAATAGCGCAGGGGCTTGGTTCTAGAAGAAGGAGTCCATTAAGTTGTACTATTCCCTCTTCCTGTGATAGCCTTGATCAAGTTATTCTTTTTTTTTTTTTAGCAAAATACCATGCATCCTCATCACCACTGAAATACTGCTCCCTCTGTGAAGCATTCCCCTGAACCAAAGGCAGAATTCATTGTTGTCTCCTCAGTGTGCTTGTCACTTTAGTCTTATTGCAGTTGGCACATTGGCTATAGTCATATATGTATGTATCTTCGCTTTCCCTCATTCTGTATAATAGAGTTTCCTTCAGGAAGACAGGGATTCGGTCATCTTGACTTTCCTACCAGCGTTAACTGTCCCTAACAGTCCTTAGTAATTACTTCCTTTCTAATTGAGTGAATAAAAATGACAATTTCAATGCAATGTGTCATAACAACCTATCAATCATATCAATGTATCATCCACCAACTATTTGTCTTATAAATATGATCCATAATACTAAATATTTAGTAGTCCATGGTCTGAATTATTTTATTCACTTTCAAAGCTACTATTTATAGAAAATGATGAGGAATATATGCATACATTTGTATTCTATGCATGTATGTTTATATGTATGCATACATGTACATATGAAAATGCATGTGTGTATGTTGCACACATATGTACATGTGTATTTGGATATATACCTAAAATAATGAGTACATGGGATGCTACCTATGTGCCAAGTACTGATTTGTACAAAGAAAAATATGAGTGAATTCCTTACGTAATGAGTTTTTTGTAGTTATGTGGCTAAAACAGAATATGAATATTAAATTTTTATTTCTAGCAGCCACAGGTTTAAACAATATAACTGCTAGGTTTATGCATCTAACTCACTTCACAAATCTCATTCAGACAACCACCTGGAGATGAAAGTTACCCCCTAATTATAGTAAGTTCTAATTCATGTTCAAGGGTAACAAAAGTCTTTTAAAGCTGGCCTGAGATTTCAGCTGTAACAGCCATGAGCAAACAGGGAAATAAGACCCCGCAGCATGGACATATCACCTCTGCTACTTTCTCCTTCAGGCACAGATCCCATGTTGACAGAGGTATAACCTGAAAAGTTCTTGTCTCTGTTCTGTTTTCTAGTATGTAGAAAGCAGACCAAACCTTTTGGACTACAACATTGGTCTAGATAAAACCATGGAACTCAAGTTCAGCAGACATTTTCTACATTATATTTCAACCATAAGAAACCAGAAAGTTACTTAGCTTCTCTGAGCTTTAATTTTCTCCAAACTTATAAATGATTATAATTATTAAATGAGCTAATGGGTGCAAATCTTTTGAAGTTATCTTAGCTTACCTTTTGGGCAACTTGTTGGTTAATTAAAAAGTAACTAAAAACTCACCTGTAAAAATGTAAAATTTGATGGGTTGAGGCCTGATATAAAAGCATCAGCTTTATTTTATTCTGATAAAAAGAGTCTACTCATTTCTATTATTAACTAGTATGATATGATTGTTATATAAACAATAAAGTAGTCCCAATGAAATACTAAGAAATAGGTGGTATATAGATAAATGATGGTATAATAAAGATTTACAAAACTCATTTTTTTCAGCAAAGTAGCAATCAATTATAAATAAAGGATTTAAATTTTATAAAACACCCACTTTTCAGCAGCTTATGGATTTTCTAGGACTCTTGAGCTTTTAGAGATACTTAGTTTTGTTTGATTTAAAAGATTTATTTATCTGTTTCTTTATTTTTGCTCACTTTTTCAGTTCCTGCTGATGCTCTGAGTATTTTTCTAGACCACACTGTGAAGGGCTCTCATTGATCCCCAGAAAAGAGCTACTGCTTTTTCAGGTATTGTGTGACCATCCTGACTAGGCTTTTCATAGTCTGACAAATGAATGTCTTAGGTAGGTAGACACATTTGCACATAAAGGTTTAAGTAGTAAGGAAGAAGTGTCATATTTGATGCTGATGAATTCTGGTAATGAGCTTCTTGTTGGAAGAGGATTATTGGCACAACCCTATTTGGCAGGTTTCCACAGACTGAAGAGGAATAAAAGCAATACACATACAGATGTTGATATTCCTGTTGCCTTGGCAACATTAGTCCTTGTCTTTATGGCTGCTGCCAGGAACACAGCATCTGGCTCCTGCCCCATCTGTTGTGCTGACTGCAGCATCTGCCTCTACCTCTTCTTCAGTGCTTCCAGCTCAGGCACCTTGTCCTCTGCCCTACCTCTACTATTGCTCTCTGATTGTGACATCTGTTACTATTTGTTGTAGCTTTCTGTACATGCCTCGGGTGCTATCTAGGGCATCAGCTAAGTTTAATGGCTAGTGCACATACATGATCTTTTACCTGTGAAAAGCTGTTTCACTGAAGATGTTCTCTTTAGTCAGACTTTCAGTTCCTGTTACTTGAATGATTTCTTTAGCAACTTCAAATTTACCATTGTAGCATGCCCTAGATGTGAAAAAACATTTTGTGAAGTCTGAAGGTACATATGGTATATAGCAGGGTCAGTGGGATGCTATGCAATACTCACAGGTGCAAAGGGGTGTCTCCATAGATGTTAACAACATGAGGTTGAACTTCCAGATCACTTTGAAGCAAATATTTCACTATATCGTGATGCCCAAAATGAGCACAGAAATGGAGTGGAACATGGTCTTCATTATCCTGAGCATTCACTACCATTAGCAAGAAAAAAAAAGGTATGTCATTTAGAGTGACCTGTTCTCTGTATTGATATATATATATATATATACACACATATATATATATATATATATATATATCCACAGACTTGTCCTGAATGCCTGAAAACTAATGGCATTACCAGAGGGGGGGAGGAAATGGAATCGATTTAGAAAAACACTATAATAGGCAATTACCACATCAAACAGGTTCTTCTGTAGGTGCCCTCAGTTCTACCAAATGCAACTAATCAAATAGATCCGAATGGTTTCTGAATGGTCCTGAAATCTAGCAAGTATCCAGAAGGTGCTTTTCACTTTATTTCCACAAATATTAACTTTCAAATCGATTTTTTCTTCTCTGGAGGTTGTAAAAAATATTGTAGGTTTTATACAGAATGCCCAACTAAAAAATGTGGGTTCTTTGGGTTATGGTGAAACCTGACAATCTGTATAATAAAGACACTATTTGGGAGCAGCTGATGAACCCTTACGCTGAGATTTTTCACACTACAATATATAAAGCATCTTGTAATGGAAAGGAGAAACTCATCAGAGAAGGCAGAGTTCATTAATTGTGCCACCTTAGACAGTTATGTAAAACTTAATTGTTTCATCACTTTGTCTTTGTCCTTCTCTTTGGACTACTCTGCTTTGTAGCCTCCTCCATATTTGATGAATTCCCTATAAAGAAATCCTTATGCTGAGCATGCTCTAACACAGAAGATAAAAGTCTGCTTTCCAGGACTCTTTTTCATTTGAGGATATACGATCAGTAGAGGGTGACCATACATAAAGTTTTGTTATGCTGAGATAATTCTTAACAGTGACTCTTCTACTCAACAGCCCTTTGGTTTGGATATTTATCTATCTTATAATCTTCTCTAGTGAAAACACTGTATATTTGATGCTGATGACCAAAAAGCAAGATGTAATATTCCCTGTTAATGTGGTAATGAAAGGAGGTCCCACCACAGCTTCATGGTCTCACATTGTTAGCCCCAGAAACCTAGTGTGTGTGTGTGTGTGTGTGTGTGTGTGTGTGTGTGTGTGTGTGTGTGTGTGTGTGTGTGTTTAGAGCAGGAATGGTATTGTGTCTTCACAAGTTTAGTTTTGGGGCATGAATTTGGATTCCGTACTGTACTGTGAATATTCCAAATTTGGTTTTTCTATGGTGTACTGGGATAGATTTTCTGTATTATTATGCATATATATAATGTTTAAATTAATAATGCTTAGCTTGAGATGCTTGAGACATTGATACACTCTCATTCCTCAGTAAGGTTAATGATCACTATGTGTCAGGCACAATACTAGGTGTTAGATGTATTTATGGCTTATTGTTAAGAATGGGTCTAGGCAAGCTGAAAGGATGGAAGGACATCTTCACCACAGGGCATCTAGTACTCAACTGTCACACACAGACTAGGACCTACACTACTTCTTCCCTAATTTCCTCACTTAGAAATGTTCTGTATGCTAAAATAAATAGTCTAGCTGGATAGTTAATTATTACAAGTTGAAATAATAATGACTGCACACCAAAATGCTCAATCTAGTATGGATCTGAGTTTAAGTCATTATCTCATAATTAAAATAAGTAGATTCGCATGTTTTATGGTATAACTTTTGTCCCAATCTAAGTTTTGTTTGATGGTGATGGTGACGCTATTTGAACCATATCATATCCTTATCACTAGTTTGCTTTAATTGTTTTTCAGATAGGAACTCATGCATTTCCCCTGCCTCCAGGACTAACTTCATATGCCAATTCTCTTACCTATACCTCCTGAGTAGCTGGGATTGTTACAGGCATATAATAGATTTGGCATGCTCAGAAAAATTTATTTATTGTTTTGTTACTTTATATGAAGAACCACAAGGACTAAAAGAAAGACACAAGTTAAATGATAAAAAATAGTAAAGGAAATCTAAAGAAGGCAATAGTAACTTTAAAATTTTGAATATAGTTTAATTTCCATTGCTACAAAATCACCAACTTAAAAAACACTGATTTAGGCCATTTAGCTGATTATATTTGTTGACAATCTTCCTTATTTCATTGTCCTGGAAGATATCAGGCCAAAGAAAATTCTTTAACAAAGTCTCTGAGCTTCTTCTCCTGAGACTATTATTGCAAAATAAATCTTTGAATCTTTTGTTTCCTATTAAGTAGTTCTTTCAGAAGTATGTCCCTGGTTCTTTTGATTATCCTTGTTTTTATGATACTTCCCTTTCCTCGTGTTCTATTCAAAGCTGGGTAAGTCAAATGCATGAGTCCATGCATGCAAAAAGTCTGGAGCTCACATCCTTTGGAGCCCAGTTCATCTCGAGGGATGGGTAAAAGGTTTTTAAGGTCCAGGAGAAAAATGTTATATGATCTTCTACTAATTGATATTGTTTCCTTTGTCAGTGCAGTCTCTATTCAACCTTATTCTTCCCCAATTGAATGCATATACTTCAAAGTAGATTATCTATTTGGTAGATTACCTGCAGTGATCTAAACATTTTTTCAGTTTTAACAGATGTCAATACCAACTGAAGGGACAAGCAGGAGAAATATGGGATCAGATCGACAGGTAAGAGTTTGTACAGCTAGTTTAAGGCTACATTAGACATTGTAATGTCAATTTTTTCCCTTGTACCAATATAGTCCGTGTGTGTATAGAAAAATTGAATATGTATGTGATATTTTATTTTCTCTAACTTAATATATTATTTAGAGATTTAGATTACGGAGACTTCAAAACAAAGGAATACATGTAAGTCTTATTAGGAAACTGTCTAGTAGATGATCTCCACTTTCCAATGGGAAGTTGGTCAGCAATGTCTTTTGCAACGCAGATTGAATGTGTGTGTGAGAACGAGGGTGGCTATTTCCTTGTTTCCAAGTATTGAACTTGATAAAATAAAAATTTCCAGATGAACACAGAAATGTCTGCCAATTTTAGAGTCTCTTTAAAGTAATTATTAAATGTGTTTCAAATAAACTTTTAAAGACAAATCTGTGCATTCTCTCCTACAAAATATGGTATGATTATCATGGTCTTGGCACATTTTATAGGATGTTCTTTGTTCGGTATGGGGGTTTGAACTCAGGTCCTCATACTTGCTAGGTAGGTACTCATCTGTTGAATCACATATCCAGCCCTTTTATGTACTAGTTGTTTTGAGATAACTAGACATTATGCCCAGGCCTGGATCACAATCCGCTTACTCTTTCTTTCTTTCTTTTTTCTTTCTTTCTTTCTTTCTTCCTTTCTTTCTTTCTTTCTTTCTTTCTTTCTTTCTTTCTTTCTTTCTTTCTTTCTTTCTTTCTTTCTTTCTTGCTTGCTTGCTTGCTTGCTTGCTTGCTTGCTTGCTTGCTTTCTTGCTTTCTTTCTTGCTTTCTTTCTTCTCTCTCCCTCCCTCTCTTTCTTTCTTTTCTCAACATGGTGGGGTCAAGTCACTTTGAGGCTCAGAGGTGGGGAGGGGTTGAAAATATACAGGAAGACAAACTCTGACATTCTTGATGGGGTGGGCCCTTCCCCAGCCCGTAGTCTTGAAACATCCTCTTATAGTTCTATGCTTACTTCCATAGTTAAGGATGTCAGGCGCATACCAGTGTGCTAATTTATTCCATTGAGGTGGAGTCTCAAGAACTTTTTGCTCTGGCTGGCTTTCAGCTGCAACCCTCTGAGTCAGTCTCAGAAGTAGGAAGGATGAGACCTATGAGCCACTACATCCAGCTCGTAGATTTCGATTTTAACTAGTTTCATATAAAAGAATAATGTTGCATAACATAACTGGCATTTAACATTAAAATGACAAATATTAATCAATTCTGAATTTAAAATTTCTCAGTTTCAATTTTATCAAAGTGATAAATTTTGAGCACTGTATTATTATTTTTTCATATAGAGTTCTGGAATATTTTGACCTTTCAACCTCATTCAACAAATACTACATTTCTCCCTTTTCTATGCCCTAGGAGATACAAAGAAATAGACTAGGACTTGAATAGGTCAGTATTTTAAGCATACTGAACTGAAGAACCTGCTTTCAGAATTACATTTTGGCCAATTTTGTAACCTGGGTTTCTTCTCATTTGTGATATTCTGTTACCCTAAAAACACACTGTAAATACCAGGTTTCAATTTTTACCACTTTGGGGGTTATTTGTTTAATCTTTTTGTAAGTCCATTTACCCTAGGAGAAGTTGAGACAAAATAAATCATCTTGAGGCTTAGTTACACTTAGAAATGAAAGAAGTAACTATTAATAAGCCCTGCACAATATCCACAGCATTTTCTTTCCTTTTTAATTGCTTCAACTGCAAAAAGGGACTTAAATATCAAGTTGCACTCTAAGAAAATAGAAGGTCGAGTCATACTGTCTTGATTTTTCTCTAAATGATTGAGTAGGAGGCAAGTTGTACTTCTGTGATTTAGAAAGCAAACGCTGAAAATTATATTGTATCATACTGGTATGTAAGAGGAGCGCGGGTGCAGTTTACATTCACACTGCCTTTTGCAGAAGAGTTCTTTGATCCTGGAGGCATGCTGATCATAAATGACACTCATTTTGACATGAGTAGGCTTCGGGATTGTTCAGAAGAATAAAAAGTTGAAGTTTGCACTGATAATAAAAAAACTGATGCAGCTCTTGACCTCATGGAAGAGCGAAGCAGTTTCAAAAATACATCTATATGTTTCGTGATTCACACAAATGCATATCTCCCTGTTCTAAACAGAATGAGAGACTTTAAATAAGAACCAAGGAACAGCTTTTCTTTTGTTCTGACAACAGACGTTGTCTATAATAATGCCAGAGTGTAGATGTCTGAGTGATAGAGCACACTGGTTTATAGAAAACTATGCAAACCACACATCTTCAAGTTTACAAATAATATAATCCCTGCTGCTGACATGGGAACTGGAAGCTGCCCTCACCTCTTGCCTCAGTTGTATCTGGGAAGCTTCCTGCTTTCTTTGTAAGTAATGAAAATATAGCTTTATTAGCTGAATATCAATCTGAATTCTGAACCAAGGAACTGGCAGTTCTACAGGTTTGACAACCATGTCCTTTTGGAAACGTGCATCATCCTGCTGCAAAGGCCAAGAGCTCTTACAGCTGGGCTTTTAATTAGGTCTCTAGGGGGTCAATGGAAGCACGTTGGTTATGCCTGAGAGAATTTAATGGCAAGATGTAACTCTCAGTGAATTTGTGTCAGAAAAATAAAAGTTTATGAGGGAGATTTTTTTTAGTAACTCTTCTTTTAATCAACTTTCCAAAAGTTCTGTTATAATTTTAAAAGTAAAGAGCCAAGAAAATGTTATCAAGCATCCGAATATAAAGACTTCCTATAAAGTAAACCAGGTTCAGAGCGATAAAGATTGCACGATTTTTATTCTCATATATGAATGTTAAACATGAAAGTAAAACATAGTTGTGAACACGCACAGAATCAGATATGTGTGTGCATGTACACACATCTGTGTGAGTATATAACATTTGTGACTGTGGACAATTTGAGAGGATTTTGTTCAAAGAGAATGTTAGAAAATAAGCAAAACCAAATAAATACATCTGTGAATAAAGTTGATAGAGGAAACTCAGTAAAAGCTTCAGAATAATCATAGTAGTGGCAATGGGGGAAAACAGGAGTAAGGAAGGGGCAAGGATTAAAATGCTGTGTACACAAGTGAAATGCCACAATCTCAATCACAATCTGCAATAACTGAAATAAATGAATGACAAGAATGTAAAATAAGTCCTGCTTAAGGTGAAGGCAGTAGTGGGAATGAGGAAGGTGATAGAAGAGGTGAGGGATGTGAATATGGTCAAAATACTTTCTGTGCATTTGTGAAAATGGCAAAAATGAAGGTTGTAGAGATTGGTTTCAGCAGAGGGGGAGGAAGATAAGTAAGAGTGATGGAAATGGTGCATCTAATCAAGGTATATGGAAATGGTAGGATCAAGGCACATCCCATATGTATATATGAAATTAACTGGACAATTAGTTGTTCATTTAAAAAATGTGAAAAAAGGGAGGAAAAGTATGCTCTGCTATGGATTCTAAATTTTATTTTTCAAAATTATCACTCAAACTGCATCACTATAAAAATTTTAAAAATTATCCTTATCATTATAATCTTTTTTGTACAACCACTTAATAATAATTTTTAGTGTCAACTAAAATTTATAATAATGCAACATTGAACATTGTGATATATTGTGATATATTGCTTAGTACAGTCAAAAATAGTACAAAAACTTGCAACAATGTCTAGAAATTTCCTAGAAAAGCTAATATGTGTGCACTCCTTAGTGCAGCAATTCTATTCTAATATATACACTAAAGAAAAATAACTGCATATATTCACTTGGATAACTTGGGTAAGCATGCTGCTGGTAGCCACATTCAAAACAAATGTTTTTTAAATATTAGTATTAGTAGAAAGTATTAGTAGAAATTAACTATACATACTGTGAAAAACAGCAAGGCTTTCTAATCATAATCTTACCATCTGCTTTGTTCCCATCTTCCATTAGGAGTTTTGCAATATTAAGTAATCCTTTTGCAGATGCTAGATGGAGTGGTCTGTCTCCAACTTCACCACTTATATTTACATCAGCACCAAGTTTCAAAAGAAGGCGTGTTATCTGAAGGATCGGATCCATTCATTTGAAATTAGTTTAGAAAGTCAAACAATATTGCAAAATGTTAAAAACATGGAGCACATGTCATTAAGGTTTTCTCAGGTTATGTTCATCTGAATATAACAGAAAATTCTTACTTCACTGGCTTGAATCTTAGTATTGAGCCACATAAAAACAAAGTCCAAAATGGGAGCAATTCCATTAATTAATACAACAGGGTAATAACATTATGAGAACTGAAGTTCTATCATTTTGATCTACCATCCTCATAGCAGCAACAGACTTGTGTAGCAGCTCCAGAAATAAAATGATAAACCAAAATACAGAATAGAGTAAAAAACTACTACTTTTTGGAATAACTGATTATATATATATATATTATATGTTATAATATATTATATAAATATATATCTTCTTCCTCCTTTTCCTCATCCCATTCTTCTTCCTCTCCCTCCATCTTCTCTTCCTCTTTTTCTTCTTCCTTCTTCCTCCTTCTTCTTCTTCTTATTCCTCCTCCTCCTCCTCTCCTTCTTCTTCTCTTCCTCTTCTCTTCCTCCTCTTCCTTCTTCTTCTCCTCCTCCTCTTTTTTCTTCTTCTCTTCTTCCTCTCCCTCCTCTCCTTCCTCCTTCCCTCTCCTCCTCCCTCCTCTTCCTTTTCCTCCTCCTCCTTCTTCTTTCCCTAGAAACCAGCTTCCACTATCTCCTTGGCCTAGATTAGGTAATTTGTGACAATTCTCTAAATTAATACTCAGGCAAGAGGAAAGATTTGCTGAATGACTTGATGTAACCATGATATAAAACATAGTGTCTAGAGAGTTGGAACAGTTCTTTAAATAGAACCAACAGAAGACAAGTGAGCAGTGGAATAAAATCCTGAATGTTCAAGCAAACAAACACGTGTGGCATCAAGTGGTAATTGTCAGTATGATAATTTTTTCAAAATTGACCTACAATGCCTGCTATTGATCCTATTGTGTATAATTAATGCTTTAAATTTAGAGGCAATGCAGTATATTTGTTTAGGAGTTAAGGTCCAAAAAAAGATGCAAGGTCCACAATAAGGTAGCCTTAGAATTATAATCTGATTCATACTAGATGTAGATCTTGAGAAAATGGCTATTCTCATGCTGTATCATTATAGATAAAATAAAAATAATGATGTGACTTACCTCTTTTCAGTAATGAAGGTCAAAGAGATAATATGTTTAATATGGATGTACAATATCTGACATATATATGTGTATTTATTGCTGAATTGAGACAACATTGTTCAGTAGTCTTGTATTAGAGTTATTGAGAAGATGGGAGCAGGTAGGAAGAAATTAAAAAAAACAAAAAGAAAATTCACTCTACATTTTTTGTTTTGAAATTTTACTTTTGCCATTTTTTTCAAGTATTACCGCTTATCAATTTTATAATGCAGATCTTCATTGCATATAAATGAACTTCTCTAAAATCACCCATAAACTTTTCTTTTTTTTCTTTTTTTTTAATTGTGAAAATACCATACAGAGGGGTCACAATTACATGGGCAAGGTAATGAGTACATTTCTTTCTTTTTTTGGGGGGGGGGAATCCGGTCATGGGGCCTGAACTCTGGGCCTGGGTGCTGTCCCACAGCTCTTCAGCTCAAGGTCAGCGCTCTACCACTTGAGCCACAGCGCCACTTCCAGCTTTTTTTTTCCTGCTTCTGTGGTGCTGAGGAATCGAACCCAGGGCCTCAGGCATGCAAGGCAAGCACTCTACCACTGAGCCACCTTCCCAGCCCCAAATGAGTACATTTCTTATCAAGCATTGTTGCTCCCCCTTTGTTTCCCCTTCCCATCCCTTTCCATCTGCCACCTCCCCACCCCACCCCCTCCCCACCAAAGTTGTAAAGTTTGTTTTTCGATATAACATCTTGTACATCTCATTGTTGCAATGGGTCCACCTGTATCCCTATTTAAACAATTTGTTTCTGAACAATCTATTTTTCACATTTTCTTTATAGACAGATTAATAGTAGTTTAATTCACTCTTGGTTTTCATGGCAGCTCAATGATCATTGTTTATGTTCCTACATGTTGGAATTCTGGCCCTTTTTCTGGATATCTGAATAAAGGAGAGACAGCCCCAGTAACCCCAGCAGTCCCCAATTAGCTGGGACTCCATGTTAGAAGAAGTAGAGAAAAATAAAGTAACAAAGCAATTAGCAGTTTTTCTGCTGGTGTTTCAGATATGTTATAGTATTCTTTTGAGTTATTTACATGCATAATAAGGAACATTCACATAATTTCCCTAATTCTCTTTCCTGAGAATTTCAAAATTCACTTCAGTGAACCTACTAGGTAAGGTAGAATGTGTGTGTGTGTGTGTGTGTGTGTGTGTGTATAATTAAAAATCTATAGTTAAGGGAGTGCTAATAACTGTCCTGGCCACTGGGATGCCATTACAAAAGTGAACTCAAGCTCTTGAACTACTTTACCTTTTCCTATTCCACAGTCAAGAAACAGGACTTGTGTAGAAACTTCTCTAAAGTATGAAAAACACTAGATAGAAATTCTAGGCAGACTGCTAGCAGGGTGCCTTATGGGTAAATGGTTTCCTATTACATGTATGAGCTATGAGCAAGAATTCTGGAATCTGGTTTCTATTCATTAGGTAAGATTAGCCAGAACAAGTCATCCCATCTTCAGTTTCTCCATTGCTATCATTTCTAACAGGGAATAATATAGCTCTATTTCTGGAGTTGTAAGCATTAAGGAAGTCATTACATATAAAACTCTCAATAAAGTGAGTGAAACTCAGTGACTGTAAAAGCAGTGATGCCAACAAAGAACCTGAACACTTTAGTTTTCTGCTGGCTAAAGGGCAGATCAAAGCTTAATTCAGAGATATCAGGCCAGCAGAAGTTTACTTTCTAGAACCTTGTACTCCTAAGCACATATTTCCACTTACAGAGACTCCATAAATTCTGGTTATGTGACTTTATAATGGATAGATTTAAATTAGCTCTGAAATCGATTGTCTATTAAACACTATTATTACATACCTAGGAAATATTGCTCTTGGTACAAAACATCTTTTCTTCCATTTAAAAATAAGTAAATAAACCAATGGCAGGGAACATGGAGCATTAGGCACATTTATATATCGAGTACCATTCTCTTTGTCAGCATATTTTAGCAAATGACAATAGCTTCCATAAATTACTTATGTGCTTATATACAGAAAGTGAGTCCCTTATCATAAAAGGGCCATCCACATTTTAGCATAATTTTATGACTGTGACTATATTTTCAGGGAAAGTAAACAAATTTAGCTCACTACCCAGCATGCATAGAGGCTCTTTATCTTTCTGCTGGGTTACAAGGTTAATCACCAAAGAAGATGACTTTACAAACAGCATGGTTTGGATATATTTTGTCCATGCTGAAGTCAGAAAAGTATGGACTTTTTCCATTACCTGGGCTTTTGGATCCTGCACTTTCCAACCCACTTTCAGTGACTGGCTCTCCAGTGCACTTTAGTGCACTTTGAGCAGCACATAAATGAAATGAGCAATCTCTTCTAGCTGTAGGTCACGCTTTACAGGTCTGAGAGTGCCCGAGCATATGCCAGCTAGCAGAGGAATAAAGTCACAACAACTAGAGCAGCTCAAGGACACAAGAAAATTTTAGTTTTCAACTTGGAACCCTCAGGCAGTACTGTGGTATAACCTCCAGGATGTTAAACATGTCTAATTCTATCAAGTGCACCTCAGGAGAAAGCAAAGTAGAATGAAAACAATATGTCAAAAGCAACAGTTGTGTTTGGTTATTTAATCATATTCGCATTTCTGTTTTGTTTTTAGTTTCTCAAGACTAGCTAAATGGCAGTGTTTGAAGATGGCAGATATAAAGTTAGTCTTTCTGTGTGTTAGGATGTAAAGTAATGGAATTTGTAGTTAAGAGTATATTCTCCTGAATTATGACTGTGTATTCAGAAAAATACATAGTTGCCTAGATTTGTACTCTTTTCACTGGGTGAAAAGAAATTATAGAAGAGATGTTTTGCACAAATGAATAAATATCTTTGGGGATTCCACAGACCTGAGTACATACTCCATTACTTCTTCCTATTGGTCTTCAGACCTGACTTGCCTGAGTTTTATATGAATCACTGGTAAGAAGGAGAAAATAATAGCCAATTTTAGAGTTTTCAAAATAAGTAAATAAATAAAATAATGTCCCCCTTGTTTTCTTAGCTTTTTACAAGTTACCTGGATTCCTTATATCCCCATTACTTTAGCCCTGGTTTCTATTGTTTTATTCAACACTTACTCTAATTCTCTCTCTTCTAAGGATCCTTGCTAATGTTCAGTCCTAATAGATTATCTATGATAATAACCCCACCTTGAAGTTCTTAATTTAAGCACAGCTGTGAGGTTTCTTGTAACATTTACAAGTTCCATCAATTTGACTATGTACATATTTCAAGCAGCATTTTTTTTTTTGTCGGTCGTGGGGCCTGAACTCTGGGTCTGGGCACTGTCCCTCAGCTATTCAGCTCAAGGCTAGCACTCTACAACTTTAGCCACAGTGCCACTTGTGGCTTTTTTTGCTTATGTGGTGCTGAGGAATGGAACTCAGGGTCTCATGCATGCAGGGCAAGCACTCTACCACTTCCCAGCCCTCAAGCAGCATTTTTCAGCTACCACATCACTCAAGAATAGAAACAAATAAAATTTTTGAAAGACACCTTTTCTAGAAAAGTGTTGGAAAGGCCTTTATGATTTGTTTTGTTGTTATTATTATTTGCATAATCACAGTGACATATACTGACCATTTGTCAAACAATTTATATTTCATTACCACCCCTGTAAGAAAGGTCCTTTTAATAATTTTCCCTTGTTTAGATGGAGAAATGAAGGGTAGAAAGCTTCTATAATTTATACATGATCATAAAGCTAGGTGGGGATTTTCCAAATTCAAGCTGATTCCTGTGGCTGCACACGTATTAATGCAATCTACTGCCTCCTTTGGGTACTTTATAGTAAAAATAAATAGCATGGCAGTTGTAGTTCTTATATGAATCTATAAACACCTCAAGGGGGAAGCTGTGAGAATAGAGACTAATCAAAGAATATGCCAAAAGTCTGGTGCACTTAAGCAGTCTCTGAGACTTTGGAGGTCCCACTGTCAGACTTACCTGCTCATGCCCATGGTAAGCTGTGATGTGCAATGGAGTGAAAAAAAACTGCATCTTGAACATTGACATTTGCTCCATGTTGCAGTAACACATCAGCAGCCTGGACAAGAAAAAAAAAGGGGAATTCCACTAGGGATTTTGCTTGGGACATCTGCAATCAAAATTCACTTTACAAACAATGCACAATACTTGATCAGGAGTCCTATCTTGAAATAAAACTTTCTTGCACCTCCCTTCCCCAAAACTCCCAGTGTCTTAGCATTTGCAAATTGATTGATATTCAGCTAACCCTTTCCTAGTACTTTCTTTAATAAATCCAATTACAGAGTCAAACTGCACCCACTTTCCTATTCCTGTAAGGCTTTGCTCACATTATTTCCTCAGGGAGCAAGTGCCTTCTGTTCAATGTACAGATGTTGAAATTCCAGCTAAAATAGTACCTCCTCTAAGATTTCCTTAATTCTCCTCCCTCCATTGCATCTGTTTAACTGAAATTAAATTTTCTTTCATTATAAATTTAATATATAATCTATTCATGCCTTTGAGAATATTTTATTCACATATATGCCGTATCCTTATTAAAAAATTAGATGTGTGTGTGTGTGTGTGTGTGTGTGTGTGCGTGCTGGTCCTGGGACTTAAATTTAGGGCCTGGGCCCTTTCCCTGAGCATTTTTCTCAAAGCTAGTGCTCTAACAGTTGAGCCATAGCATAGCTTCCATTCTGGCTTTTTGGTACTTTATTGGAAATAACAGTCTCAAGGTCTTTCCTGCCTGGTCTAGTTTTGAACTGTAATCCTCCAATCTTAGCCTCCTGAGTATCCAGGATTACAGGTATGAGTCACTGGTACTTGGCTAAAAAACTGGATTTTAAGGATGAAGTACACATCATGTTCACCTAATGTGGAAATGAATGGAGAAGCAAGTAAGTAAAAATCACTACAACTAACTTTCCAATTGTTTTCCTGGAAAATCACAGACAGAAGTTATGGGAATGGGAAATAAATGTCACATCTCTACATTTTCAAGTGGAAGACAAGGAAAACCAAAGGGATTCATGAAATTTTCAAGGTTACAAGACAAGTATATCGGCGCCTGGTAATGCCACCTATCTCAACCTTTGCTTGATCCCCCATTATTCTAAATAGCGGATTCACTCAACCATGTACTCATTAAATAGGATACCTTGATAATCTAATCACATTACTTGTTTATTTTCATGCTTTATTCAGTCACTAGGATAGTGTTAAAATGGATAATAACTGTCAGAGACAAAGGATAATCTAAAATTGTTGGTGAACCCCCAAATTGAACAGATATAGTGACATCTATGCATTGTCAATACAATGTTTTTCTTGCTAAAGATCAATAGAATATATAATGTGTACAGTGAGTTGTTTTTCTAATAAAAATTGAGGTATTCTGTTTCATGCTCAAATATAGAATAGTAGGTAGTACTCTCCAATTTTAGAAGTGAAATAACTGAGATTCAGGAGAATACATGTAGGTCTGTTTGATTTCAAAGTTTGTTTCCACAAGGCTTTTTTATGAGAATGATCGCATTAACACTAACCTTTAAGTAAATGAACCACTGACCCAATCCTAGGTAGGAGAAGTCATCTGTGTGTGGCAGCTCTGTAGATTCAGCTTGGAAATGAATGCCAGAATGTCTTATCTAAGGCTTCATATGATTGGAAGTTGAGTCTTTGAAAAGAGGCCACTTACAAGGTGGATGTGGCTTTTAATATTTTTTATTGAAAATAAACTATAAAACAAAATAGCATGAATTTTTATCATATGAAGAACTCCCAAATATTAGAAAATGGGTAAAATTTCTTAGTCATGGTTCCATAACTTAACATTCCTTCTAAAAGATAATGACTGATAGCCTTCAATAAATAGTCTAAAGCATTTTTCCCTTCTAAGTTTGCACTTATCCAGTCACTCAGAAGGTCAGCCTTTTTGCTGAACATTCATTAATTGTGAAGTATTGGCCTTCTGAGAAACTGTCAGAATGTAAGTTATAATGAAACCATGTAGAATCATTATTGAGCTGGGCTTTTTATAGTTTATTTTAAAATTCAAGGAAATATTTAACCATTGAGAGTAATGTACATATGAATTATATGCTTTTACTTATATGAGTACAATGTATTTATTTGTTTTATGAGTTTTAAAGTTATTGTTGGAGAATATCTCTCAACATGATTATGATAATACCAAATATTAGGTTTATAAATATACCAGTTGTGTGAGATAAAAAATGCACTCATACGAATATTTAAATAACCTAGAAGTCAACTTTGTACCTTTTCTACTACATGAACCCCCATGAAGTCGCAAACTGAGACTATTTTATTTACGGCTATGGTAGCATTTGATAATTGTTGAAATGCGAGATATTCTGAATGAAAATAAAAATTGAAAAATCTATTTATCACTAGATGAAAAAGAATTTAAATGTAAATGTTAGGAATTGTACAAAAAATAAATGAACCTTTATTTCAAATTAGTCTTCAATAATTTCCAAGTGCTTGTACCATACCAGGAATTTATGACAAGAATTTATATATATTATTTTAATAATAGAGTAATATTATATTGTTTCAAGGGGATTTTTTTAAAGAAAATATATATGTATTAACAAGCCAGAACAAAGCTCCCAGTAAACTGGAAATAAGATTTGCAACATTAAAGACATCTTCATAGTATTTTAATACTTAAGATCATAAGCTGCATCTTATTTAGACTCAAAATCAACAGATGTATCATTATTACTAAAGAACCAGAATTTAAATATGCTTATTACTCTAGGAAAATATTTTAATGTAGTTCCCATTAAACAGTTGTTCTTTGGACACAGAAAATGGATCAGAACTCTTTACTTTGATAGTAGAACAATTACTATGTGATTTAACCTTTACAGTTCTTTTTATTCACCAGTTGACTTCTAACAAATCCCTTACATTTTCAGGTTTTGAGACAAATGCTTATTTGCACATTCTGCTGTTTCTTCTTGAAATGTCTTTTTTTTTCTTTTTCTTCCTGCTACATAATCCCAAAGACAAAATTTAGTTTTTATGTTACTGTGAAAACTTTCTGCAAATGTTTCCTTATATGGATCATTTCTTTCTATAGACATCAATACAAATCATCTTCACAACATAATCCATTAATTGTCACTATATATCAAATATTATCATATACCAGATTTCTTCACACTCTGAGGTTATATCAAATAAGTTTTTAAAAATTTAAGTAAAGGGCTGGGAAGGTGGCTCAGTGGTAGAGCGCTTGCCTTGCATGCATGAGGCCCTGGGTTTGATTCCTCAGCACCACATATGCAAAAAGAAAAAAGCTAGAAGTGGTGCTGTGGCTCAAGTGGTAGAGCACTAGCCTTGAGCTGAAGAGCTGAGGGACAGCGCCCAGGCCCACGAACGGAAACAAAAAAAAAATTTTAAGTAAAAAGACTTCTCCTGAGGAACTTGTATTTAATCCTTCTAACTCAATATTTATACTTAACAGATTTTGAAAAATATCTACATTTTGATACAAAATTTTCTTTATTCAAGTGATATTCCTATTATTTCTTTAAATTCATGATAAATCAGATCATTTGATATATTAGAGATCTGATCATTTGATATCTTGGAGATGCCAAATGTAATGTCTATTTGAACAAATACCATAACTGTTTGTATTTCTTAAATGTTTGTCCCACATTATGAGTGTAACTTATATGATTTTGTCCTAGTTAGCTTCTTCCCTTTTCTTTATCTCTTGGAACTCATTAGGCAGGGGAAAAAAAATCACATGAAGACAAAGCAAATTTCCTACAGAAGAAAAAGTAGAAAGAGGGAAATTCTAGATGAAAAAATGAAAAAGCAATCAATCTCAGTCAGTTGAAATTTTCCAAATCAAATATTGTGTCTTACACTTAGTAGACCTTAAGTCAATAGCTACACTTTGATATTAAATTTTTCTTTACTCAAGTGGCATTTCATTTGCTATTATTTCCTTGTGTCTTGTTCAAATTCATGTTGCACCAATGTTTTCCTCAAGTTCATTTAAAGTCAATTTATTTTTCTTTACTAGGCTGTATTTAATCTTTGTTGTTGAGATAGAAGGAGAGCAAAACAATGAGATTTTACTGGGATAACAATCATTTACATTTAATGGAAAAATCTATGTTAGTAAAGTTGTAATGAAAAACTGTTGTCTCATTATTTCAAAGTGATCTTAAAGACAGTAATATCAAAGCTAATTTTGATTAGATATTTTCCAGTTCTATTACTCACAGCATTTCAAATGTGGGCCCTTCAAAGTATTGCCTTATTTCTTCAACTTCGCAGAATGTTTTCTTTTAAGATATGTTTACATTTTTGTCCACATTTTTCCAACCTTTGATTAACTGCTCAGATCACTACCATTTGATTTCAGACCTTGCCATTCTGGGGAAAATTCCATGAAAATGACATTAAATGTTACCTCACTGTCGTGAATTGGTTTGGAGTAAATTCTTGTAATTTTGAGTTTAGTTACTGTACAATTTCTATTTCTTTTACTCCTTCTATTTTCTCAATGAGGTTGATCAGATAGATACCTTTCATTTACAGTCACCTTCTGCTATTTCTTTTTTTTTTTTTCCATTGAGGGGCTTGAACTCTGGGCTTGGGTGCTCTCCCTGTGCTCTTCAGCTCAAGGTGAGCACTCTACCACTTGAGCCACAGTGCCATTTCTGGTTTTCTAATGGTTTATTGGAGATAAAAGTCCCACAGACTTTCCTGCCCAGGCTGGCTTTGAACCGTGATCCTCAGATTTCAGCCTCCTATGTAGCTAGGATTACAGGCCTGAGCCACTGGCGCCCGGCTTGTTATATCCTTTTCTGCAGAATAGCTGGATATCATGTTCTTGACTTGCCCCCAAGAACTGAGCAAAAATAATGATTGCTTCTCAGCTACAGCAGTAAGATCTTCCCTCAGGAAACCTATTTGATTTACTCCTTAATACCCAATAAAACCTTTGACCACAAGTTCCTCTCTATCTCTCATTCCCTACTCTCTAGATGCACACTTGTGTCCTGGACAGCATTCTGCCACCTA